GGGGAGCTTATACTCTAAATTAGATTGAGACAGCATCTCAAGAGCAATAGGAAATCAAATTGGAAGGAAAGATGTGTAACCACAAAGAGAAAAGTGGCTTGAGAGCAGGGTCCTGGTAGTTATTTCCACAGAAAGAAAAACATTTGAGTTGACTTGCTTTGTCTGGTTCTCTTTAGTTACTTAAGGCTTTTCATCTCCAGCAAATCTCCTGCTGCCAGGGCAGAATGCAGCCATCTCCATGCAGCTGTGCAGAGGTGATACCCCAGTGATTTCCACTACTTTTGAATGGCTGAAGGCATTTTAGTCTGGAAAAGAGGAGGCCCAGGGGAGACCTTATTGCTCCTTACAATGACCTGAAAGGAGGTTGTAGCAAGGTGGAAGTCAGTCTCTTCTCCCAGGTGACAGTGATGGGGTGAGAGAGAATGGCCTCAAGATGCACCAGGGGAGGTTCAGGTTGGATATTAGCAAAAATTGTTCAGAAAAAGTGGTGAAGCATTGAAACAGGCTGCTCAGGGAGGTGCTGGAGTCACTGTCCTGGAGGTGTTCAAAAGAAGGGCAGACGTGGCAGTGAGTCTAGAGGGTGAATCTACACCATGTCCAAGCTCTACAGTGGTCACAGACGTGGGCTGATGGTTGGACTGGATGGTCGTAATGGTTTTTCCACCTTTACTGACTCTGTGATTCTAAAGGCTGCAAGAATAGGAGATGAGGAGACCTTAGATCCTGCTTTTATTGATAACAAAAAAACACCCCAGGTTTTACCCACTGCAAACCAAAGCATGGAGAGAGAAAGTGGTATGCCAAGAGCTCCAAAAAGTCACCAGCAGAGATGGGGGTTAACCCCAAGTCTCCAAAGGCATGGTCCAGCACTGAACCAATAGCAATTTCCTTTTGCATGTGATTTACTAATACTAATGATTATTTTGGGATTTCCTTTTCCAGAGAGGAAGGGAGTAAGAAATTCAAGATCGAAAAGGTGCAAGCTGATCCCTAATATTACTTCTGGGACACAGTAAGGGTTTCAGACCGTGTCTCTGAGTTTTTCTTCCAACAGAGTTGTAAAATTTTTCTGTGAACCTTTCCTCTTCCCTCTGCAAGGCAGTGGCATATAGTGCTATATGTAAAGTGTGAACATGTTGCAGGTTTATTTCTCAGGCTCAGGTTGCACCGGAGCCAAAGCAGAGGCAGTAACCTTAGATTGATTTTTCTCCTTGCACTCTTAAATCATTCAAATCTGTTAACAGTCTCTCTGCTCAAGCAGGACGCACTATTGTAGACCTTGATTGGATACAGAGGTTTGTTTATGGGCAACGCTGCAGGTTTTGTTTAATATTCCAGAGGTCTGGTAATTTACATCCATCGATTTACAAGGCACAATCTGTCAAGAGACACCAGCGTCCCATTGAATTGCAAAATGATTGAAATCATGGGTGACAACTAGCGTGTTAAGTTTATTTTTCTCATGTTTGCTGGAATGAAATGTTCCCTCTCCTCAGAGTGAGATATCTTGGCTGTGCTTGCAGCGAGCTAAAAGAAATTCCAAACAAAGCTGTAATTGTTATCCAGCAGCACAGGAAGACGACTCAGGACAACTGAAATTCATCTGTTGAGGCTGCAGGATGATAAGGGACTAAGGAGCAAGTTGTTGGCTGCTGCTTACCCAACCGTTGGGTGTTTTGTTGGCTAGAAGGGTTCATTGTTTGACTTGGTGTAAACAGGCCAAGGTACTTATAAAGGAGGAGGAGAAGAAGATATGTATGACTGTGGATCTGTGGTGTTGCTTTTCCAGCATTTCAGTTTGAGATGCCTCCCTCTGCCCTTTCAGTGGAGAGCTGAGAGTGTTCTGGTGGGTTGAATGACTGTGGGGGATCACCCATCACTTGGTGTCTGCCCAAAGAACTGCCCGTCTCCAAAACAAAAGTTCCAAAATATGCTTTTGTTCAATACCCCTTTAGGCTGTGATTATCTTACTCCTTCTGCGGGTTCACGTCTCCTGAACAAGGCTTTAAGAAATAGGATTTTCTCCTTGGTTGACTCAGCACTGAGACAATCCATTCTGGATGCCTGAGGAAGGAGAAAGGACAAGTGGAGGGCTCTGGAAGTCTTCTGATCTCAAAAAGTGACAGTATACTTCAGGGCCTTCGTATCACTTGAGAAGTGGATATACCTTCCTAAGCCAGCACTTGGTCTTCCTTCCCAACATGGGGACACAGAACACAAACAGAAGAACTCCCCACCCTGGGGACATGGAATACCTGGAACTCCCCACCTTGGGGGCATGGAACACCCACAACTTCTCACCCTGGGGACACAGAACACCCAGAACACCCAGGAGAACTTCCCACCTTGGGGATGCACGACACCCAGAACTTCCTACCCTGGGGACATGGAAGACCCAATAGAACTTTCCACCTTGGGGATGCAAAACACCCAGAACTTCCCACCTTTAGGACATGGAACACCGAGAACTTCCCACCCTGGAACATGGAAGACCCAGAAGAACTTCCCCACTTCAGGACATGGAACACCCATAGCTTCTCACCTTGGGGATGTGGAACACCCAGAAACTTCCCACCCTGGGAACATGGGATACTCAGAAGAACTTCCCACCTTCTGGATGTGGAACACTCAGAAGTTCTCACTCTGGAGACAGTGAACACTCAGGGGAATTTAAGCACTCAGGCTTTAAATAAAGCACAGATTGCCCCCGTCTTCCTCCTGCTCTTATCTCCACTGACAAATACAATTACCACTTCACTTAAATTGCTGTAAATGAATTATAGAGAGCAGAAAAATGTGCATATATTTCTCCGCTGCAGAAATTAGCTGACTCTTGCATTTCAGGTGATGGATCCATCCATCTCCACTGCCGGGGCGAGTTGGCACAATCAAACCTGAGACTGCAGCAACATTCCTGTGCTGTAACAGCAAGTCCATCTCCAGGAGCAGCACCAATAGAAACTTGTCAGTATTTAGAGTTTTATGACTAAAAATGGATTTTTTTCCCCCATTCTGCAGACCTGAATCTGCATGATCCAAAAGCCCCGCCACCCTCTAGGGAAACAAATGTCGTAGCTGAAAGGTTTGTTAAAATTAAACTTCATCCATATTGCTGTGATTGGAGGAGCTGCTGAAGGAGGCTGCTTCCTGGATCTGTATTTAACATGGCCTTTTCCTTGCATGGTTTTCTCTGTAGTCATTCATAGTAAAATAAGATGCACAATTTGGTGCTTTGCTGTGTGCAGTCTTTTCCTTTTGCTTTGTCACACTCCTTTAGTTGTACAGATCTGTCTTATACGTATAGCACTGTTTCAGACAAAATACATTGGGACTTTTGACTCCTCATTTTGTCTTTGCTTTTCAGACTGGATCTGAAGTTGTATTGAATTTTACAAGCAAATCCAAAGCTCCACATAGGTTCTTCTTTCAAAGGAAGTCTCTGGCTGTACAAACAGTGGCAAGAGACGTTTATCTGATCAGTCTCCATCACAATTAAAGTTTGTTGTCAACAGTTCCTTAGCAATGTACAAATCCTTTCTGTACTGCGCTGCGTTGGTGTCTGGCTGAGTGTTTGTCATGTACTAAACATTAGGGAAGGCAAGAGAAGACAAGAAAACAAGCCAATTCTTAGCACCAGCAGATAGCACACCTTCATTATTCAGGTTGACCACGGAACAAATACGAGCTGAAAATGTGAAACAACCATGAAAAGAAAGCAGATATCGAAGCAAAAGAGCAAAAAAGAATATTCCCTGGAGAGATGGGAAAGCTCTGGTCCCATTGTGGCAGCAGTGAGAGCTGAAATACAGCACACAGCTCTGGTTAGCTGTGCTCAAAAATGTAATTGAGCCTGGAAGGGGTGCAGAGTTGCTCGTAGGATGAAGAGGGGATGGAAATTCCCACTCCTCAGTGAGTTTCTTGTACTGCAGCAGGAGATGAATGCCAATGATGGAAACCTCCATCAGGCGAAGAATAATGATGGCATATGAAGAACTAAATATAAAACATCAGTGAATAAGCGTAGGCTGGAAATTAGATCCTAACCTCTAAAATCAGTGTTGGAGAAGTGAGGTTTTGAAGGAGTAGTTCAGGGAAGTAAGGAGGGTAGAAACCTGAATGACTTCAGTACGGCATACTATTATCTACCCAAGGCTGTGGGACGTGATGGACTTGATGGCCCAAGACATCCCTTCCCATCACACTGTTTAATTCAGATGCAAGGTGCCTAAACAGGTCTGCATAATTTCAAACACTGCTAATCACCCTATGCACGAAGTCATTGCTAAAGTGCTGCTTGAATGAGAGCTAGAACTCAGATATTTGGAATTTGCTTCCTCTAATTTGGGCAGAATATTTGATAACTGTGTTTTGAAGAGCTCTTGGTGTGAGTGATACAGACGAAATTAAATGAGTTAGACCCACAGGATGATGTATACAGGACAGCAATCTCACAACTATGGCCATGGCCAGTACCCACAACTCTTCTTTTCTGAGTTTGTTGCCCGTGAAGCAGAAATAGTAGTTGTTTGCTGGCTCGCAGTGGGATGGTAAGAAATAAATGATGAAAACATCTCTGCTCTCCATGATTTCTGCAGATGGGGTTCACTTGTGATTACATAAGGAAGTCTATCGTGACCAAAAAGGGTCAACTTTCTTACTGGTGCCATGGTTTGGCCCCAGAGCAGCTCCTCCCTCACTCCAAGCAAAGCAAGATAAACATTCCTGGATTCTGCAGAAATACTTTTCACAGAGCAGTATCTTCCCAAGCAGATGTATTCTGGTGGTTGATGAAACCCATAAGATTCATTCTGGAGTTTAAACCAATCACAGGAGCAGTTTGTTGCTTCTTACATTCCGAAATCATAGATTTCACTGCTCAGCCAAAGACAGAAGAGAGCACACACGCTTAGGGTGGAAGCAGTCAGTGTGCTATAGTTGCTAAAGCCAAGTGGTATCGATGAAATATGTCACTGATTTATCCTTTTTTTTTTTTTTCCTAGCTATGTCTCCTGGCCAGGACAGCCATGCCAGCATGGAAAACCTTCCTGCATCCGAACAGATCCTGCAAACCCTGAGTGAGCTGGCCAGGTCTTTCCAAGAGATGGCTGACCGCTGCCTGCTGGTTCTACATTTGGAAGTCAGGTAAAAGCCCAGAATTTGGGGGTTGTAGTGAGCTCAGAAAGCTGCAGGTCAGAACTGTGTCCAGAAGTCATATTATGGCATATGAATGGTATATGTGCCCGCCTTCCTGTGAAGAAGGGTTGAGGGAACTGGGCTTGTTTAGCTTGGAGAAGAGAAGGCTCTGGGGAAACCTCATTGTGGCCTTCCAGGACTTGAAAGGAACGTATAAACAGGAGGAGGAACGGGTGTTGATAGTGATAGAACACTATAGAAAGGGGGAATGGTTTTAAACTGAGACAGGGGAGGTTTAGGTTAGACATTAGGGGGACATTTTTCTCACAGAGGGTGGTGACAAATTGGAACAGGTTGCCCAAGGAGGTTGTGCATGCCCCATTCCCAAATGCATTCAAGGCCAGGCTGGATGTGGCTCTGGGCAGCCTGGTCTGGTGGTTGGCGACCCTGCACACAGCAGAGAGGGTTGAAACTCAATGATCATTGTAGTCCCTTTCAACCCAGGCCATTCAGTGATTCTATGATGTATCCAGAAATGCCAGGTCCCATAACTATGGGTGGCCAAATGTGGGGCGGAGGCAAGATGGGGCTTTGTAAGAGGGTCTGTATCTTGTGTCAGAAACTATGAAAAAAAGTTTTTTGCAGGCTTTGTCCATAGATAATTGCACAGTGTTTTTAAAGCCTAACAGGTGTCTGCATATTTATTAGCCATTGCGCTTTGGATTGCAAATAAAAGCTTTTCTTACTGCTTTTTTTTTTCAAATAGTGAGAGAATCTGGGGAATATAAGGTAAGCACCAGCTGGAACTTTTAAAGGGCTGGAGAGTTTTGTGATGTCTCTGACTACACATGCAAAGATGAAAAGCAGCAAATCCCTTTCTTCAGGCTGCCAGCTGTCCACTCTGGGGCTGGGAAAGCATTTGTCCATTGGCCAGGTGCATTTTCACTGCTTCATTTTTTTCTGAAGCATCAAATATAAGTGGATGTCATAGACAGGCAATGAGACTTGATGGGCCATTTGTTCTTCTGTGGCATATCCTGAGCCATATTTTGTCTTCATATATGTTGACAGAGCTCTCATGAAGTCAGTATGTAGCTTTAAAAAAATACACATCAGTTATTGTCAGCAGCCCTTCAACCTGCTATCCATCATCTGCTGCCCACTTGATTGCAAGCATCACAGATTAGTTGGGACTTGAAGAAAAGATTGTTAAAGTATGGAAATGGAGCAGCTTTCCAGCTGCAGTGTAATGCAAGGTGATGCCTGGCCTAACCCAGACTCATGATATAGGCACCAGCCTGAATGGGTTTCGGATTTTCCATCACATTTTGGTTAAGCAGAAATAGGTGCAAATATAATTCAGGACAATTTTCACTGCTACAGACAGCGAAAGAGGGGTTGAGACTTTGCAGCGATCCCCTTGGTTTTCTCCTACCTTAGGGACCCCCCATTTGTTTACAGCTTTGCCAGATGCTGATTGGCACAAGCCTGGGTTTAGATTCTCCTCTACAACTATCAGAGCATGACCCGAGGACTATGGTCTCTGAGACCCTGCACCTTGGGTTTACATCTCCTTCCTCAAATGAAACTGTTGGCACATCCAGATCATTAACCATTTCTTTTGGGGTTGCCCCGAGAGGTGGTGGATGCCTCAACCATGGGGGCATTACAGGACAGGCTGGACCAGGCTCTGAGCAATCTGACTGAGCTGTAGGTGTCCCTTTGCAGGGAAGTTGGAGTAGGAGACCTTTAAGAGTCCGTACCAACTCAAGTGATTCTATGATTCCTTAGTCACAAACAACCATGAAATTTCAGATTACTTAATCTGTTACCATGTTTTACTATTAAAAAAAACACCAATACAACATTATATAGGAGCAGGTGCTAAATGACAGGTATATTTTCACTCTGGAGATTGGCCTAGCTTGAACTTGCATGCGATGGCCACCTCAAGGACATTTTCCAGGAGGACTGGTACACAGAAGCCAGAACTTACTCATCACAACTTAGAGAATCATAGAATTGTTCGAGTTGGAAGCAACCTTTGAAAGTCATCTACTCCAATTCCTTTGCAGTGAACAGGGGCATCTACAGCTTGGTCAGGTGCTTGGAGCCCAGTCCAGCCTGACCTTGAATGTCTCCAGGGATGGGACATGTACTACAACTCCCACCCCATCCCAACCCAGTGCTTTTTGAGCCAGCCAGTCTGGCATGAATTTTATGTCTCAGTGTGCTGAACCTGAGATACACTTTTAATGCAAGGGGTATTTCAGCCAGGCTGCAGTTCGGCTATGATTCCCTGATGGATGAAATTCAGAAGAGTCCAACCGAAATCGTGACCCCATCCCCATTGAGTGATGTGGGTGAAACCCAAGAATTACAAAAGTCAAAGGAGTTTTGCTATTGACTTTGCTGATCATAGCATTTTCCACTATGAGTTCAAGAGAAATGACCTAATTGCAGATTTTTGCAGAACAATATGTGAGTGCACAGGACTTTTTCCTTTGATGGAAAAGATGATGGTAAGGCATGTTGCCAGCAGATCAACATGTCTGGCAAACTGGAAAGAAGTTGCAATGGTATTAAATGTTTGGGAAGATGCAATCTCGGCCTTCAAATTACCACTGAATGCCTCCTGGCTCACTCATTTTTTCCAGTTATAAGGGGCTAACAGTACATGCAAGGAGTATCATTGGAGCATCAGTATTGAAGTGCTGCAGAACCAACATGTTTGAAAATTGAGAACCTGGTTAAAAGGCACTTGGCATTTCAGAGTGATGGTGTAGGTCGTATCTGTTAATAGAGGATCCTTTGTATTCACCTCTCAAGATAGGTCAAGAGACAGATGCATTTAATGCAGATGTAGCCACTCATTTCTTAAAATTGCTTTTTACTTGCTTGAACTTTAGAAGGAAAATTATAAGGAAGCACTTTTACCTCTAACGTATTTAATACATTGTCATGATAAGTAATTCGCTCGGGGCTTTTTTGTTCCATTGGTTTTTATTATTCCAAAAATAAAAGATGTATGTTCAAGAGAGCTTAACTATGCTCTCTAGCCCCTCTGTATCCCTGCAGTATCCTTATATATGTCATTTTTCCACAGTGTAATCATCAGTGCTTTTCAGAAGACCTAACCACAGAGCCATGTCAAGGTCACCACAAACATGCTGGTGTTTAGAGGGAGAAATAAAAGGAACAACTGCCCTCCTTGGCAGCCTTAACCGCTGCAGAGGTGTTACAGAGATAGTCTTCATTAGAGCCTGACTGGGATGTAGATATCCCTGTTCATTGCAGAGGAATTGGAGTAGATAATCTTTAAGGGTCCTTTCAAACTCAAACAGTTCTATGATTCTGCTGGGGAACTGGCTAACGCTTGACAAAAAAGATGAGATAATTATCTAACAATTGGAAACTTTGAAGGCCTCCATGGATTGGTAATGAGATTTAAAAAGAAAAATCTCTTAGGTCTTCACATTAGAGCAAGGGAAAATGGGCACTGGAATGTCCGTACATCCTCCAAGCCTCCCAGAGCTGCTTGGTGTGCTGGCAGTAGGCACCTTTGCAGCTGGCATCCAGACCAGGCATCCCATGAGGGATGTTTTGCTCAGAAAGGAATGGTCCCTTCAGTTATCCTCATTTTTTCCAGTCCTGGCTGAGAAACCAAAAACAGAACAAGCAGTGCAGACATGCTCTTCTTTGACCAAATCATTTGGCTCTTGAGTCATGTTTTTGTTGATAGGCTTTCACTCTCTTGTCTGGAATCTGCACAGCCTTTAGAGGACTTGAACGTACAGATTGCTAGCATTTCTCTCCATGAAAATAAGCATCCTACTATCATGTTTTTTTCTGCCTAGAACCACTTCTGAGTAACACCCATTGATATTTTAATGTTGGCATTGTGCTGTAACACTCTCTTCTGTCTTGCAGAGTTCATTGCTTCCACTACCTGATCCCATTGGCTAAACAAGGGAACTATGCCATCGTTGCCAACGTGGAGAGCATGGACTATGACCCCCTTGTTGTCCGGCTCAATAAGGACATCAGTGCCATCGAGGAAGCCATGAGCGCCAGCCTCCAGCAGCACAAGTTCCAGTACATCTTTGAAGGTCAGACATTTGTCAACAAGTTTGTAAGAGTTTGGTTTTGTGAAATGATCTTTCGTTTTTATCACAGAGCTCAGAAGTATTATCTTTCAGGGTAAGACAAGAGGAAATTGTTGCAAACTAGGGGGAGATTTTGGTTGGATATAAGGAAAAAGTTTTTTACAGGAAGGAAGAGTGGTGAGGCACTGGAACAGGATGCCCATAGAGGTGGTGGATTCCCCCATTCCTGGAGATATTCAGGGTCACTGGACAGGGCTCTGAGAACCTGATCAAGCTGTAGGTGTCCCTGTTCATTGCAGGGGAGTTGGACCAGATGATCTTTAAGGGTCCCTCCCAACTCGAATGATTCTGTGATTCTATGACTCGAACACACACTGTGCTATTGTTGCCATCTACAGCAAATTGATTGGTGAGACCCATGCAGACATAAGTCAGAAACTTGTTGCTTCTTTACCATTTCTGAGTGTCTTTGATAGAACCAATCAACCCATTCTGAGCACAAAAAGGGTAGGCTGATGTACACGCAGGACAGTTCACCAGGAAGCCGTATGTATTGCAGGCACAGCTCTGTTATAGCACAGACCCTATCCAAAGTGTAGCCATTCCAATACCAAAATTAAATTTTGAGAACATTAGCTCTTCTGATGTCTCATCTGTTGTGATTACCTTGGAGAATATAAATCACATCTTGGTTCATCTCCCTGTATTTATCTGTGGCACTGATGCACAGTGGTGTGCCAGGGTGTGATGATGTCAAAATCAGAAGAGTGAGGACTGGAGATGCACTCATTTTATTGCTGGCAGGGATGAAGGCTGTGCAAGCCTTGTTAGCCTTCTTCTGATCAGCATTTAGGAAGCCTAAGCATGAGCGTACGTTCATAATTCAGACTTCTAATCAATGTTTAGTCTTTTCCAGACCCCTGTACTGAGTGAATTGGGCTACATTTTTTCTATTTTTAATGCTTCATGCGTGGGTACATCATTCTGAGATTTCCTGTGACTTTTAGCAGCCTGCCATGTCCTTCAGTAGCAAAGGAAAGATGGAGACATCACTCAATCAAAAGAAACTATCAGAGAAGCTGTGCATCAAGTGCATTGAAATGCAGCTCATTTTTGCTCTTGTGAGAATTTGCCAGGGAAAAATACCATTCTTGATAATAGATTAGAATAGTATCATTTTGTCAGAGCAGTGGTGGTCCATTGATCTGCTGGAGAGAAAGGAATGGAAAGGTGTGTGCTGATCAATCTGGGAGTGTCCTGTAAAACTCAATGGCTACAATAGTGCAACTTCGAGTTTTTATAGTTTTGTATAGTTTTATAGGGTTTTGTTTTGTTTTGTTTTGTTGTATTTTTGCTAACAAAGGGAACCTTGAGGAAAGCCAAAAAATTCACAAGGAAGATGGTGAACTGTTTCCAGAAGCGGTCTGCTGTATCTCTCTTTCCAGTTCACACACCCATTCCATGCCCATTCCCAGGTTTTATGATGAATTATTGCCAGTAAATGTCTTTCTCCACTCATTTTATTATTTGTTTCTTTCCTTCTTTTACAGGTTTGGGCCACCTCATCTCCTGCATTCTTATCAACGGAGCCCACTACTTCAAGCGCATCAGTGAATCTGGCATCAAGAAAATGTGTAGGAACATTTTCATCCTCCAGCAAAACTTGACAAACATCACCATGTCACGTGAGGCTGACCTGGACTTTGCAAGGTGAGCTAAGAGCCTTAATTGTGTTTGTTATTATTGTGATGCCCACCATGCAACTGGATGGGTGGTATGGTGAAGTTAAATGTACAGAAGTGGTAAGTGTAATATTCACTTTCCCCCTTTGTTGCGTGGGAGGTTCAGCCAAGATCCCTTCAGAGCTCAGCGTCAGCTCGGTGTGTTCATGCTGGGTGATTTCTGTTCATGTGATTCTCTTAACATCTAAACTCAGGCAAGGAAATGTTTCTAGATACAACTGCTGTGTGGAATTTCAGCTGGATGAAGGTGGGGCCTCTGATTGCCCAAATGAGTTACGCTTCAGTTTGTTGAAAATTTAAACTTAAACCATGTCTTCCTTTGTGTTCTGTTGCTCCCAAAATTGTAGCAATACCAAAGCCAAAACTGGACATGGGAGCTCAGCTGCAAGTTTCTTTTCTGTTTTGCTGGTTTATTCATTGAAGGGGGATCATTTGAGGCATTAATCACAGGGTGTAACTCAGCAGAGCTGTGTTGTCTGAATCTCTGTGGAAGCAATCATAGAACCCTAGAATCATTTGAGTTGGAAGGGAACCTTAAAGGCCATCTAGTACAACTCCCCTGCAGTGAACAGGGACATCTACATCTCCATCAGGTTGCTCAGAGTCCTGCTCAACATTACTTTGGATTCCTCTCCAAGGATGGGGCATCCACCCCCTCTCTGGGCAGCCTGTGTCACTGCCTCACCTCCCTTATTGTAAAAAACTTCTTCCTCATATCCAATCTAAACTCCCCTGTTCTAGTTTGAGACCGTTTCCCCCTGCCCTATCAGAACAGGCCCTGCTGAAGAGGCTATCCTCTTCTATCCTCTTCAGATACTGAAACACAATGGGCAGCTGGGTCCAAGAAATAGCCAAAAGAAGAGCCTAGAACTTGCAATTGATGGCTTGTAAGCTCAGATGACTAAAGTTTTGCATGATGCTCAGCTGTGACCCTCTGCCAACACTGGTGTCACCATTTGGCCATCACTCTTGGAGCCTGAATTACTGGAGAAGCATGACTCCCTTAGAGAAGGGAGAGGAGATATGACTGAGTGCCTCATTTACTTGGGCTCTCATATGGGGAATGATCTCATTATTGAATTTGTCTTTTCATAATAACATTGACGTGGGGAAATTATGAATGCTGAGGCCTGGAGGAGAGAGAAGAGAGTGAGAACAATAGATCCATTACTAATTCTCCAGGGAATAAAGTTCCCAAATTGAATCTTTCCTTTTTAATTTTTTATTATTATTATTTTTTTTCCCCTGATCTGTTGAAGTGTTAAGTAAATTAGCCCAGTTTTTTGGCAGGCAGAACAGGACTTGATCATATGCTGACAGAAACTGGCACCCAACTAATGAAATGCTGACCAAGTGCTGTTGGAGGCTGGCTTGGTGCTGGCCATTTTCCTATGGCTCTTTGCAATCTGCGTTGAATGACAGATCTGTGACTTATGTGCTGCATAATTTGACGTGGAGTTTGAAGGGAAGGGTGAGGAGGGAACACATTCCCCCCTTCTGGTCTTGCTAGATAGATGATCATGCAAGCAGTTTTCACAATAGGAAGCACTCATATAATGTATGGGCTACATGGCGCATAGATTTTCTCCTGCATCATTTGAGATGCTGAGTACCATCACTGAGAGCTCACTGAGGTACTTGTTCTGTACAGCAGCATGAGTTCCCATGCAGATTTCTTCCCATAATACAAATTCAACAGCTTGTTCCTTGGTTTTTTTTTGTGGGGTTTTGTGGTTTTTGGTTTTTTTTTAGCTTTCTTGACTGCATTGCTTCCCTCTTTCTTTTGGGGCAGACTTCTGTAATGTAGAGAATATGTTTTATTCTTTTGTTCTACAGATGGCTCCTGAATACTCATTATCTGGATTACCCTTTTACATATACAAGGCATCTTGTGCATCTAAACCCTGCCCTGCTCACCTGAATATACAATTACCCGAGCAAGTCCTCACATTACCCTAGGGAGTCCAGTTACTGAGGTCTATTCCAACTGTAAAATAAACATAACCATTCACACCCCAAAAGCATAAAAAAGCATCAGTGTGGGATAAAAGTGATTTGTGCTTCTGTGATCTCTCTCATATAGCAATCTGTGAATGCTCTGCGCAGTGGCCGACTACCAGTTTTGCCTTTTTAAAGGTGGGAAGTTGAGAGCAAGTGGTTATTTCACATGTAGGATCAGTGGCAGAGTTGCAGAGGAAATAGGATGAGAGGGAATGGCCTCAAGTTGCACCAAGGGATGTTCAGTTGGATAGTAGGAGAAACTTCTTCTCTGAAAGAGTGGTGATGCATTGGAACAGGCTGACCAAGGAGTGGTAGAGTCACCAGCCCTGGAGGTGTTCAAGAATTGTGGAGATGTGACACTGAGGGACATGGTTAGTGGGCATGGTGGAGATGGTTGGTGGTAGGACTGGATCATCTTAGTGGTCTTTTCCAACCTTTATGACTTGACAATTCTTCAAGACTATTTATGAGCTCCACAGAGCACTGGTATTCCTCTTTCGTCTCTGTCCCAGTAGATGATGTCCCTTCATTCGTAGGCAGTAGAAACCCCGATCAGGGAAGGTGGACGAGGAAGATCTTCCTCTTTTGAAGCCAAGGTCACGTAGAGGGTTCACAGCAAAATCCTACCCATGTAACACAGATAGTTCTGGTGAGACTCTTGCAGGTTAAACCACGTTCTTCAAAAGATTTGCAACCTGCAGGTGACAACAGGCTCTGGCAACATGTGCTGCTTTGGGAACAATGCCATGGAATAGGAAGAATCTGTTTCAGATGGGTTTTGCTTTGCGATTCTCCATTCAAGGTAGAGTGGAGAGGGAAACTCTCTGCAGAGCATCACAAAGCAGAGCTGGAGCACATTTCCAATGGAAAGAAAGAAATTGCCAAGCTCTGTGAGCTGTAGCAAAGAGTATCTCCACCACAAGAAGAAAGGGTAAAATAGGCTGGTTCTGTCTGCTAAGGTGTCACAAAAGGACGTGTATTAGTCGCTAAGTTTCCTGCAAATATGAATAAGGTTTTCTCTTATGTGTGTTCCGTATCTAGGCCAGCAGAAATGCAGACAATTATTAGGACATCCACCACTATATTAAAGAAAAAGTAGTATTTTCTTTCTGTATATAGCATCTGATCACATGCTGCGAAGTCTAGAATAGAGCATGGATTCTGAATACCTCCACATTTGGTAAGATTCAGACCCAGATTTAGATTTCTGTCATTACAGGGATAGAATTCACTTGCAAATACAGACTCCAGTTCAGATCTTTTCTTGTCTATCTCCTTTACCTCCTCTCTATCCACCTGAAATGTAATTACATGTTTATGCAGAGATTTCATCAGAGACATTCAAAAAAGGCTTAGGCTTCTGTTGAGACTTATCCTTACAGAAAATATCATTCAGTTCTTAGATGTTCATTTTCCATTGGGAAAAAAAAACAAAAAAAAACAAAAAAAAACCACTTTTTCAGGCACATAGCAATGATAACATTGCCCTTTTCCCAAAAGTTAATGGAGTTGATTCTGAGGGAAGGGAGGGGACTGGTGGTGAAATGTGGCTATTTCATACAAAGCAGTATAATTCTAACCTCTGAGATGATGGGTTTTGAGTGGTGCTACTCTTCATTATTGGGTCTGAAAGCATCCTTCATCCTTTCACAGTGAAGCAGAGCTGTCTGTACACCTAAGGGCTGTTTCCCTGCTGCTACCATTCAAGCTAGCAGTTGCAGTGACCATCCATCCCAAAGGACCACTAATATCTTTTCCTGCTGCTGAAGATGTTAACAGGGTCATTGGTTCTGGCCACGTCTTTCTAATAATGTGACACCCACCTTGTCCCTGCTGGTGGATCCTGGCCATGCTGGAGAAATCCACAGTGCAAAGGCACAGGGAGAAGGCATCAGCATGTCAGGCAGTTGTCCTCAGACAGGACGTGAATAAAGCTTTGAAATGCAGTTCAGACACCTGTGATCAAATGTGTCCGTATACAAACTCCGCTTGAATTTTTGCTCTTCACAAAAGAGAAATGACCTTTGCTTCCTCTTCCCAGCAAAATACAGTTGCAACTGCTGCTCTGACCCCGTTCCTTCATGCCCACATTCCCCCAGTGATACCTGTGATGCTATGGTGTAAATGCTTGGATACTAACATCCTTGGGGCAAACACCTTCCCTGCACCCATACAGCCACCGACAGCATCAGGGGAGAGCTGCACCAATTCTTGCACTGATTTCAAAGTAAATGAGGACTGGGAATCAGCAAATCCATCTGAGCTGTGCTCTGGCACCTAGAAAACCCTTAATTTTTGCTTGTAAGTTTGCATGAATCACAGCAGCAGAGTGGGTATAGACTCTCTAGATTTTGTTCTATCTCAGCTGGTAACAAAAGGCAGAGAATGACCATGTGCTAAAATTCCCAGTGCAAACAGGCACACTGCTTTCAACACAGACATCCACGGAGGTGGCTGTCCCATCCAGCCCTTTGAGGAGCAGGATTTTGGAGGAGGCTTTATTACAGAGTGTTTTGGGTTCCTTTCCTGCAACGACCAGCAGCAAAGGATTTGTTTAATGCGGAGAGTTAGGAGAGATTTATGCCTCCTGCTCGATGCTGTCCCATGCAAGTTGAATAAGCAATAACATGCTGCCATCTACTGGGTGCTGCACAGGGTAAGGAAAGCCAATGTGCCTTAGAGATCCCAGTGCTCTAAGTCCTTTTCATTGCCTGATATTATTTCTCTTCCTGGTTTTCGTCTTGATATATACATGAACTTGTGCACGTTGAGCCCCAGGTTAAGCAGATTGGAACTTGGATCCCCTTGATTCATTGGCAAACTGCTCTTCTGCTCTCAGGTCCATCTGCAGTACTCCTCCACTACCTCTCTTCACTTGTGGTTCAGTACTGGACAGTATTCAAAACAGCAAATGTGGGCCATTTAATATTATTTTGTTTGAATAAAACTCACATTGGTTGATTACAA